CTTGGGATTGGAATATGGTTTCGGTTCCCTGCCCTTCCGTTGTTCCAACCATTCTTTGCTTGGCTTGAACCTGTCATTGGACAAAGTCTCCCTGAGATGATCCAGGGTACAGTCAACGCTCGCTTATATTTATAATCTTGTATTTATTCGCTCTATAATATTTAAGAATACTCCAGTTCCCACATTTTTAACTCTAACCCTATTTTAGTACTAGAGCACGTACAATTCTACGGGAATAGTTAGGGTTAGGGATAAAATCAATATTTATTCTCGCTGTTATATTTACTGAATTCCTGAATCCCCCCCAGTATATATATCTGAATGTTGACTGTAGAAGGAAACTGGATTGACCCATCCATGGCATAGGCTGCCTCAACGGTCTTCTGGTAGTCCCCGTATCGTCCTTCCTGTAGGCCATGGTAGCCCACGGTTGCTTTCAACCTAGCCCTTTCCGTCACTAGCACCTTTTCTTGGGCGTCATGACCGGATGCGGCCTGGTATTCAGGTAATCTGATAGTCCTGGCATCAATGAACTCCGTTCCGACCAGGTCATACACTTGATCCACGTCGCTGTCGACCTTTCTCAAGTAGAAGTCAACTCTGTCATGGTCTCCTTGCTTTGGGAACAAGCCACGTTGGATGGTCTTGATGAATTGTAGCAATGGGAACTCTTTGGTTGAGCCTTGCATCACTATCAATCTGATCCTCTTGAGCAACTCAATGGGATCCAGCTTGACTGCATCCTCGTAGTCTCCTAGACCTCTAAGCTTGGACTTCATGGCGTCGGTACAGTATGTCACCTGGATGGTGGTTGCACCTGTCTTGAGAATGTTCTCATAGGATCGAGTCGACTTGTCATAGATGGATGACTTTGCCTTGTACTCGCTGAGTTCCAAAGCATCGTATTCTTGGGCTTTGGGATCAGTAAGTGACACTTGGAGTGTTGGCTTGGTCGGCTTGGTAGGTGCCTGACTTGTCATGGTCTCAATGGCCAATGAAGCCAGTGGCACATCATTCCACTCAGGCTTGATCCTTAGGTCCTGGACAATGTGTGTCAGGGTCTCCTCAAAAGGATAATACCTGGTGCCAGCCTGTCCATTTGGATGGAAGAGGAACTGACGCTTGGGACTCTTGTTCTGGTTCCTGTAGCTGTTGCCTCTTCCTTGATGGCTTCTTCCTGAGGAATTGAATCCCCTACCCCCCCTAGAAGGGTATCTTCCTCCACCACGACCACCTCTTCCTTGGAATCTCATGGTCTTGCTGGTGTGGTAATGCACTCTTGTGCTTGCTTGTTCCTTGGAACTAGCTTGTTCTTGTGGAACTGTTCTTGTGTGGGTAGCTACTCCTGCAGGCAGGACCTCACGGTGGACTCTTGTATGAGTCACTGCTTTGTGAAAAAGCTTGCTTGGTGGCTGGATAGCCTCCTTTTCGTGCACTGTTGGTGTACTGGCTGAATAGCCTCTGTCTTTGACAGCTCACGTAAAACGTGGTGTTTCTTGTGTGGAACCTTGGGTAGTAGTGAGCTCCTCTGTTGGTCATTGGTTGCCTCTGTTCTTCTGCAGATGGCCTTCGTATACTTAGATGAGTACACAGTGTGAGTTTCAATAGCTGGAACAGTTCTCGTGAGGAGTTGAAGGAGTTTTAAAGCCCTGTGTCGTTATCGGGATTTTTGTCTTTCACTTCACAATAGCGGTGGGTCACTCGGATCAACCTATCTCACTCAATATCGGGAGTTAGAAGCGTGCACTGATACTCAGAGTATCCTTGACGTGTTGCGCAACTTTCTCTCTATTGGTGTCTTGGCTTGCAGAGCTCCGTTCGGACGATAGCTTGATCGGTAGATGTTGCCTGTCGCTCACCGTGATATGATGGATCAAAATCTCGCGCGATGACACGATGACGTAATCCTCTTCAACTCGATGAATAACAGCCGGATTTCCTTGCTTCCAGCGCGTAACTGGTGTGTCTTCGTGTGCTCTTCAACGTGCACTGCTTGTACTGCGATAACTCCGGCCGGAAGTTACAGCGTACCTTGTAGTGTACTGTCGACAATGGGAATGAGAATCTTTCCCGCGCACGCACCTCTTTCCTGTTAGAGGCTTTTCGATGCTCTGATAGTGTGGCTAGAGGCTGATTCTTCGCACCTCTTCTCTGTTGCAGGTGTTAACTCAAAGCTTTCACTTGAAGTCAATACACTTTGACTTGATTTACCTTGGTATCAATCTCGAGGTCGGTATTGGTAACTCGAGATGGCCTTTTGCTTTTCAGTGTTGTTTGCTAGTAATACTGCAGCTTATTGGGGAGTAATTTGGTTTTAGATTAAGCTGAAAAGCAAAAGTGAGGATTTTCTGGTGGTGCATAGCAATTCTTGTGATTGAATTGGATATAAGGACCCCCGTAACACTTTAGACCTAGAACTCCCTTGGTTCCTTGCATGATGAATTTGCATGCGAACCGGACTAGATGATTAATACACGAGTCAATAGTAAAGAGGTGTCAGGTATATTTCCTCCAACATCTATCCCTATATTTTGGCTTCACCGGAATAGGAAATAGGAAATATCAAATAAGTCAGCGGGAGCTGCGATACCTTGGCAGAAAGACAGACAGAAGAAGGAGAATCATGTTTGAGATTTACAGCTATCATTCCATCATGTAACTCTAGATTTACAACACCTGCTGGCTTATTGTGTTTTTGTGCTGAGTGCACTAACCTTAAATTATATTGATATATTCCTACCCCTAACTTCTTATTGAACCTTCAATTTCCAGTTTTGCCAGCTTATTTTATCTCTATCCTTATACCCTGGCTTCACCGGAATAGGGGATCCCACAGACAGGAAATTCGGCTTTTTTTCAGCGTTGGTCTCGTGTTTCCTCAGTTTGCTGGCTACTTGGATCCATATGACGAATACATGCAATCCATTCATTGTATAGCCAGCTACGGTACCTACCGTAGGCAGAGAGTTACATCGATCCGTGACAGTGGCAACAGTACCGAACACACTCAGGTTCCGCTTTACTGGCTACACTCCGTTACCGGTACCTTGCATTGGATCCTTATGACGAATACATGCACAACCGAACATTGTCAATCCAGCCATCTTAGCCAGTTACAGTAAAGTTCATCGATCAGTGACAGTGGCAACAGTGCCGAACACACTCAGGTTCCGCTTTGCTCGCTGCACTCGGTTACCTCGCATTGGATCCTTATGACGAATATATGGACAAAACCGACTATTGTTAATCCAGCCATTGTAGTCGGCTACCGTACAGTTACATCGGCGACAATGTCAACAGTACCGAACACACTCAGGTTCCGCTTTGCAGGCTACACTCCGTTGCCGGTATCTTGCATTGGATCCTTATGACGAATAGACTACATGCACAACCGAGCATTATGAATCCACCCATTGTAGCCGGCTGCGGTATAGCTACATCGACGACAGTGGCAACAGTACCGAAAGTTCGGCTTTGCTCGCTTTTGTTACCGGTACCTCGCATTGGATCCTTATGACGAATACATGCACAACCGAATATAGTCAATCCAGCCATTGTAGCCAGTTACCGTAGAGTTACATCAATCGGTGACAGTGGCAACAGTACCGAACACACTCAGGTTCCGTTTTACTGGCTACACTCCATTGCCTCACCATTACAATGAATACAGAACTTTTGTCAATCCAGGCTCCACCAAGTCCTCGACAACACACTTGTGCATACAGGAAAATAGGTACGGACACAGGAATCACCAACCAAACACTAGGAAATAACACTGAAGGGGTGAATCGGGTAGTAGAATCCACTCTCTTGTGTGTTGTCGTGCAGCCTCCTCTTGTTGCCATTCAATGACTCGACGCCGATCCGTTCAGACTGTTGGTAGTTGGTAGGGCTGGAGTTAATAGAGCCTCCTCCGTAGTACCGGTAGCCTCCTCTCTTGTTGGTATCCGGAGCGACCGTTCGTTCGTTCGACCTCGACAATGGGATTTCCTCGGCCGTCGGCAGTGCAGCAGAGAAAACAACAAATAGATATGAGATTTGTTTTCTGTGCTCAACTGCAGACGACCGGAGACTTACCCTTGTTTTCCTACTTGCATCAACTTGGCCGTCAAGGGCCAAGAACTGACTGCCATCCCATGGTTCATAGGATTCAATGAGGGATGGCTTTCGAATCTACACCGGAGACAGCCAGCTTGAGTGAGGCTTGGATAACAGATAATAGAGGTGCGATCGATCGTTTCGAATAATTAAAACAACTCACCTGTTGACGGCCGAGCTTGGAATTCTCTCCTGAATACCATAGAAATGAATGAGGGAGAGAAGTCAGTGCTGTACCTTCAATTAACACTCTTGATAATTGGCTTACCTCGAATCGAATCGATCGAACGATCCTCCTACCGGTACCAGTACCTCCTGCACCTACCACCGATATACCACTGTTGTCGGCCAAGCTTGGATTTCTCTCCTGTTTACCATAGGAATACAATGAGGGAGAGAAGTCAGTGATGTGCCTTCAATGATGGACCGTACTCAATCAGTTTATCCTTAACCTTAGTAACTTCAACGGTTCTTTTATCCACGAATCAATCTAAATCTTTCGAAAGGGAACTTGTTGTTTAACGATACATATGACCGTTGATTCTGCAACTGAAGTGCCGGTACACTAATTTACACAGTAAACGCCGGCAAATCGATTTCGGAGTGCAACTGAGGGGGAAACCAAAAGGAGCGTGGTCTGGGAGACGAGGGGGATCCCACAGACACAAAACAAGGGGATCCCACAGACAGAATTTTTGCCATTAAAGGGGTAGAGGGCTCAGGCAGATAGACTGCCTGAGGTAAAGGGGTGGAGGGCTCAGGCAGATAGACTGCCGAGGTAAAGGGGTTGAGAACTCAGGCAGATAGACTGCCGAGGTCAATTAATAATTTCACCATTGTCTACTGCGCACTGCGAGCTTTGGAGCTTGTTTTGAGATAAGTCCACATTGATTGCCATTGTTGGTGATGATAACTGAATCATTTACAAGCTTACTTGGCACTTGGCTACTCTAATAATTGCCATTGTTGGTGTTGCCATGTGCATCAGCAAAGCTCTATTTACGAAATCGTCAAGACTCCGTACTTTTGCAAAGCCGTGCAAACCACTGCAATGGCAGAGCCACCCAACCAGAACTTGACGACATTTGTTCTCACATTGAAACCTTTCAGACGTTTCTCCGGTGATTCGATGTACCCTTTGGAGAACAGGTAGTTGCCGTAACAGTAGCCAATTGTCGAAGTCACCACAGCAATGTCAACCATTTGGTCCGTCACCTTGGGAATACTACCAGCAAACCCGGCAAAAATCCACATGAGTGGAAGACTCATGAAAGTCCATTCCTTTACGTTCTCAAACATTCGCCAGGCCCGTAACGCTTTGTCCGCTTGATCTTCGTATTTAGGATCGACCTTGGTCCATGGGGCAAAGGGATGGGGGAAGAGCATCTTGCCATTGTCGTCCTTCGCGGAATATTTGGTCTTGATCATGGTCATCATGGCATCGAGGGTTCCAAAAATAATGACAACGGTGGCTCCCGACGGGGCCAAGAGGGAGTGGCGGAGGCCTTCCATGGTCAGTGATGAATTGACGTAAAGCACAGTGTTTTAGAATAGCAAGAGCCGAAGCTATGAGACTGGATCTGGTCACCCACCAAACAACAGCGCCAAAAAGATATGGTAAGGTTGGCAAGATTCAGTCAAGAACAACATCGAACAACATCGAACAAACAGAAAACCTCGCAGCAGCTCATTTTTCTTCAATCTTCGATCCCAAAAAGATTGCCGGCTGTTGGTAGCCTCAGCCTGTAGGTGCCTATCTTTAGCCAGACAGAAGCTTCACAAGGACAGCAGCGTACGTTGGTCCAGAATGCTGGACCCAAATGTCTCGACCAACTCTGGAGTGCTGGACAATGTCATGCCCAACACCTGGACAAGCACCAATCACCAGCCAAGGCCCAGCCACTCGTGAACTATCGAGCTGCTAGTAAATTATGCCACTACAAACTGCCCGTCGGCCTGCCCTTCACTGCGCCCCATTTGTGCCACTTGTGGCCCTACGCCTGAGCCAACACCAGGCCCATGTCCAGCACCAACAACAGCAACTGGAGCCATCCCGGATTCTTTAACTGTACCGTACTTACTCTAGAGATTTGGGGACTCTTGTAACTGGCCCAATCACACCTGATAGATGTCGTTTGGGGTGATTTGGTTCCTCCTAAAATGAGATTATTTTCTATCTGTGTGTGTTCCAAAAATGCGCCCTCATCTATCAACTCATGTATGCATAGCTCCAGAGTTTATTGGCGTCTTGCTCAAAACTCTTTCTTCTGGAAAACCTAAAGGCCCTTTTCGGCCATGGCGCGGTATTCATCAAAGGCTGAAGGATCTTGTAGTGCGCCCATGTTCTTGGGTTCCCTTCCAGCAAACAGATCTCTCACTGCCAATTCAACCTTCTTGCCGGACTTGGTGTAGGGGATCTTTTCCACCTGCTTAATCAGAGCAGGTACATGGGCACTGGAAGCGCCGTCGCGAATCTCCTCTCTAATTTTGGCTTCGATATCTGCATCCAGTTCGATGCCATCGGCAAGTTGCACAAATAGGACAATGCGAACATCCCCAGCACGCTTCCCAGAAGTGATTTGATCTCCAATCACCAAGGAATCATCGACGACATCGACGGCCTCGGCGAATCGATAGACTTCAGCAGTTCCAATGCGGACACCGCCGGGCTTGAGCGTGGTATCGGAACGTCCATGGATGACAACACCACCGCAATCACCTACGGAGCCGGTGACTTCCACCAAGTCTCCGTGGTACCAGTATCCGGTACTGTCATAGGCTTCGTCGTCATTGCCGGCTTCGAAGTAAGCACCACGGTACTTTGATTTGTTTCCGTCATCACCAAAGAAGCAAACAGGAGCGGCCACGAAGGGTGATTTGCAGACCAATTCTCCTTTTTCGCCAATCACAGCGTCTCCGGTATCTCTATCCAGCGCACAAACATCCAACCCCAATCCAAAAGCTTGCAATTCTGATTGTCGCACGGGCAAAATAGGGTTTCCCAACGCAAAGCAGGAGCAAATATCAGTTCCTCCCGAAATGGATGCCAACATGATATCACTCTTGACCTTGTCGTAAACATAGTCGAAATCTTCGGGTGCCAATGGCGATCCCGTCGACAAGACGACACGAAGTGCTTCCAAGTCGTTGTTTTCGCCGGGTCGGATGCGGGCGCGACAAGACTGTAGATAGCGCGGCGTGGTTCCCATGTGAGTCACCTTTTCATCGGCTACCAAATCCCATGGCGACGACAACTTGGGATAGGCGGCAAAACCATCGAACGTGACAACAGCGGCTCCAGCTACGAGACTGGATGCCATCCAGTTCCACATCATCCATCCACAGGTTGTGAAAAAGAGCATGCGGTCTTTTTCTCTCAAATCCGAATGCAAGACGAGCTCTTTGGCATGTTGCAAGAGTGTGTTGCCAGCCCCGTGAGCAATTGATTTGGGCATGCCCGTGGTTCCTGAACTGTACAGCACAAACTGAGGATGCGCAAATGGCACGGCTGTATACTCTGGTTCGGGAGCAGCTCCGTCCTCGTCATTGTTCTCGGCCAAAAAGTCGTCCCAGGTCACCATAATGTCCTTGACTTTGTCCGAGGTCCATTCGGGTTTGTCTTCACCATCCAAAAGTTCCAATACGACGATTCGTTCCAGAGACGGCAACGACTCGACCAATTCCTCCACCTTATCCACCATGCTGATTTTCTTTCCCTTACTGACATAACCATTCACCACAAAGAGCGCCTTGGGAGCGACTTGTGAGAACCGATCAGCGACGGCTTGCGGTCCAAAGTCAGGGCTGCAGGAAGTCCAAATACTGCCCGTCGAAGTGGTACCCAACATGGCCACAATGGCTTCTCCAATATTGGGCAAGTAGGCCCCACAGGCGTCTTCTTTCGTGACACCCAAAGCTCGCAATGATGCCGCCACTCGACTGGCGTCTTGTTCCAGTTCTTCAAACGTCCAACGTTTGGTGTCGCGTGCTTCGCTCGCACTGACAATGGCTTCTTCGCTCTTCATGTTGTCATTTCGTGCATAGCGGAGTAGATTTTGTGCAAAATTGAGCTCTAGGTTGGGAAAGTATGTGACATCGGGCATGACGGTTCCTTCCTTGACAGGACTAGTAGTGCCTTCGTACTCTAGTTCCAAAAAGTTCATCAACTTGACCCAAAACTCGTCACTGTTGTCGACGCTCCATTTCCACAAGTCTTGATACGATTCAGTCTTTCCCACGGATTGTTGAAATTTGTACATGGTCGTGCTTTCCTTGAAGCTATCGGTGGGTTGCCACATTAACTTGTTGTATTCCGCGGAAGCTGTCTCTTCGTCCGTGGTGGTATCTTCTTCATTCGCCACAGTCGACCACAAGGGAGAAGCCACAACTGATGAACGCGCAAATGCCACTGGCTTGTGGGACTGCTGAGATTGTTGTTGGAGTCCATGGTTCAGGAAGGCAGAGGCACTACCCGCCAAGACCACGGCCAATGCGGCCGAACGAAGAGACATCATCACGGCAGAAAAATATTCCCACAGAAAAAGAATGCAATTGTTTGTGTCTTCTCTCTTTTTGAACAACGTCCCATCAAACAACTTACTGTGGCTAGCTGGCCAGCTACCTTAGCAGATGGATCAGCAAGACATGGATCTTTGGCTTGCGTTGCCATTACGTGAAGGCATGTTGTCGACGTGATCAGAACAATGACGGCTCTGATAGCAAATCACATTTCAAAGGCGTCTCGCGGAAGAAGAGGTGGAGGGAGGTGACGTCAACTGATGCCACGTCACATTGGTGCAACCATGAATGATTGAGACTCGTGATTCAGACTTCGCTCCACCTTAACCTTGCCTTCCACCTGGAAGCGTCATCTTTTGCAGTTGGCGATCTTTTTATGCTTTGGCCATTTGATGCCATGGATGTCCCACCCTTTGGCCCTTGACCTTCCACAGCTTCCTTAGTTTCATAATACCGTACAGTTGGAAGAAGAGAGATAAAGCCTATGAACATGATAGACTCGGCAAACTACTTCGCACGCTCGCTGGTGGCCCTGTTGTTGTTGGCGTTGCCCCCCAACTTGGTGGCTTTTCAGGCAGCTTCACAGCGGATACTACCCTCGACAGCAGCAGCAGCAAGTCCACAATCTGCGAGACAATCACTCTTATTGTTGGCGTCTCCTTCCACACCCGAAGAAATGTTTGCTTCGCAAGGCTGGAAACCCATTCGCGCGGAATTGGATACCCTGCCAGTCTTTTGTGTAGCCAACGAGAAGGGACAGCCACTGCAATACAATGTCAATGACGAAACCACCATGCCCTTTTTCTATTGCGATGTCAAGGCCGCACAAGAAGAACTCGTCAAGGCCAAGGCGGATTTACCCGCCGACAAGTCTTTGGGGTTGGGAATTATACCCTTTCCACTTGGCAATGCCTTTGAACTCATGGCATCCAATCAAGCCGCAGTGATTCCCAGTGCAGACTCCCTCGAAGCAGCCGGGGCACCCAAGGGAGTCAATCCCTTGGGACAACAAATACCACTCTTTTGTTGCATGGACATCATGCAGGAATCACCCAACACGGGGAAACCTGTATTGCCCATCTTTATGGTTCATAAAGAAGCAAAGGAGGCCATGGAACAGGCCGTTGCCGTGGATGGAGGAGAGGGATTCGAAATTGTCTCTTTATCGTTGCCCAGAGCTGTCGAGATGTTGGCTTCCAATGAAGATGCTCCTTCCTTTCACTTTTTGCCACCAAGAGATTCCATTGATTATATCCAAAACTACTTGGAAAATACCAAGTAAGCAATGTCATAGTGGGCTGGGCCGGGCCAGACAGCTACAAGAACCATGAAGTGGGAAGGACTTCCTTGAAAGTTAGCCACAAGACATGCAACGACAATCCGATATCTTGTTGATTGGAACGAGGAGCTTCTAAAAGGCAGCCATACACGAGATTGAAAACTCACACGACAATGAGCTAGGTAAACAGCCTAGCTTGGTTTTACTCAAGATCGGAGAGCTTTCATTAAGTGCTAAAAGTTGTTTTTGTATGGTCGGTGGATCAACTCGTTGAATGTTTTGCGTTACCTTGTCTGCACTACACTACGTGGACAGCGCCAAGCGCCAAGAACTTCGCTCTACAGCACTGTATGCATCAAAGTTTAGGCTCCCTTCTCATAGGCCAATAGAACAATGCCAGAAACCGAAAAAATGGCAGAAAGGAACCACTTGAAAATCGTTCCTTTGCCTTTGATTTCGCGAAAATAAACTATTCCCCAGATACCTGCAATCAACATGGATGATTGAATGACACAGTAACCCACGCCGGTTCCAAGATAGTGCACCGAAAGGATGCTGAAACAGTTGCCAGTGCTCCACAACAGACCTGACAAACCTCCTGGTCTCCACATTTCTTGCAAGTGAAAGGATGGCAAAGATTGGTATCCCTTCTTGAAAGATCCTTGGCAGAACGATAGCATGAGGAATCGGAGAATCCAAAGGATTGTCGTTACCACCAATGAACCCAAGGAAAAGCTGATGAGGTATCCAAGTCCGGTAGTATCCCCGTGGCAAAACTTCATGGGGATCATTACGCTCCCACACCACGTGCCACCTATAGCTGCAACAATCACACCCGCTTGGAATCTACTGAGCTCCCTCCCGCAAATGACAACAGAGGTCTTGTGGATTTGCAGCAAAGATGGACAAATCTGACAGGAGTCCGCTACCACCGGTTGAAGGAGTGGGAGATCATCCTTTCGAGGAGGCAGCATTTCCATTGCTGCTGTGACAGCTACCGAGCTTTCCAGCTGTCTCAGACACTTGCGATTTCGAATTCTGGTTCCACTAGAAGCCGTAGAATCAGAATCGTCGCTGTCCGTCAGACTAAGTTCTTCATCTGAAAGCGAAGAATGTCTTCTGAATAGAGTTATGATGGTCGGTTTCATGGAATCGTTCTGCAATAGCAAAGGCTCTCTCAGCCCGCTTGGTGTCTCATCCTTGATGCCGAACTTTTTGGCGTCAGCGCCATTCTCTCCGGAAGCGAAATGGCTCATGGAAGTGAAACCCAAAATCATCATGAAGACCGCCAGACATGCAATTGACCGAGAATGGATGGACTCACCGAATATGAAAATTCCCCAGATAAAGGACACGAGAGCAATCAGGCTGTTGGACACTGCGATGCCGACTGCAAGGCCGAGGAGGTTTATTGCGACGATCACAGCCGTACCACCTGCAGACAGACGAAAGATAAACAAATGCTTTGTTAGGACCAGCACATTCTGATACTCTGGCCGTTTCCCTGTTAACATATTGGATCAGAACACTGTGCTTACCTGGAACCCAAAACAAACCAGAAACAATGCCCCAGGGAGAAAAGTGGATCGGCAAACCCGACAAAATTGAAAACGCAAAAGAGAATAACACAAACATGACGGTTTTGTAGGTTTGAAAGACCAGAGGATCGATGTTCAATCGACGACAGGTCTCGGATTTGATCGGAACGCCAAAGGACCCTGCCGATAGATAGAGAGGTTAGAGTGATGAGTTGTCAGGGCCTCTTGTATCATAACATCGACGACAACGCAGCGTCTGCATCACTACATTACATACCACTGCACATCACGGCACACATGGCTGCCGCCCATCCTTTGTAGGCGCCCTCTAGAACTATCATTGGCTTGATTTCAGCATTCAGCCTTGAAACTTGTTTGTCAGACACATGCACAGGGTTTTGAACGGTACCAGCACCAGTGCCGGTATAATACCTCAGTAGAACGAAATCCGTGCAGGATTGCAACAGAGCGAATGATGAACCGGTACCACCAGTTTGCTTCGGAGCTCCGCCAAGTGCTTCTGCCTTTCGCTGAATACCGAAAACCCAAGGTGCTATGTGACAAATCCCATTGCCTAGTGCGGGGCCTTGCCGTTGAGAATCTTGTCACATAATTCGTTGAAATCGCCGAGGCATTCCTGCAAGGAAGCCAAACATGGTGTACATGGTCCTCTTGGTTCCCACACGCGTCTCACCTCCCTCCGTCCTGGAAAACGCTTGCCGGAACGGTAACTTGAAAAGTGGCGATCGGGCAAGCCTGAGTTTTCAAACTTACAACTCTGTCTCAACGATACGTACATGTAGACCTTGCATAGAGCTCATGCTTTATTCGCAAGCAAGCTGCGAAGAAGACTGGGCTTTCTGGCTTTCCGCGAGGAAACAAACGGAAGTCGCAGTGATGAAACTAGCCGGGCAGTTGCGTGGATATTGGCTGCGCGGCAATGCCATCTACTTGCAATTTGAGGATTGAGGACTTCGCTTCTTACGCGCTTATTGTGTTTGCACCCCATGTGAAATTTCACCTTATTCTACTGAGTACGGTAGCTACTAGTACCAGTACTGGTACCTTTAGTATTCAAAGTATGGCCTACTGATACAGCACCGTTATCGGTAGCCTCGGCTCGTGCTTAGCGAAAGGCAGACCACTGTTGTCTGCGTTTCGGAAATCATGGACTAAACTAACGATGACTGGGCAGTTGGTGTGATCGAAAGCCAACCGAAAGAGGGCTGGGCGCAGGAAGCAAAGGATGTTAGCTCTAGAGGCATGACGCGTTATCCTTGTTTTGTCTTTTCCACAGTCTACCAGTACCTGGTAGTTCCTGTTAGTTTCTTAGTCTATTTGTGATGTCTCGCTACTACAGCTGTAGCAAGTTCTGTTTTGGCTTCACTCCAGCTTTGGGCACGGTGCTTCCGAGGAGCCAAAAGACCTCTGGGTTCGTTTCTCTCCGCATGGTGCGAGAACGTTTGGCCTCGAGGTTCAGCCCCGGAACTTGGATTTGACAGCTTTTTTGGCTTTAATCTTTGGAGGCACGTCTCCAGTCTCGGGCCCAAACGGCAACAGCCGAGACAACAGATTTCCAGCTCCCCCACTGCCAACAAATCTTTCATTGCCTCTCCATCACTAGTAGCACCCATACAGAACCGGAAAAATGCCCCGTCTTCGCTCGAAGAAACGAAAGACCGCGCCTTCACAAGAGCGAGATGATAGCCCTGCTTCGCCAGCTCCCCCGTCGGAAGCTTCCAATAACAATCCACAGCCGTCTTCCACGGCAGCATCTGCCACTAGCGACAGCAACAGCAAAAACATGAAGGGTTTTGTGTTGCAATGCTCCAATGGAACGTTGGACATCAATGAGGACCAAGCAGAAACTTTGAGATCTCGATCAGATTTCTTCCGTCACGCCTTTTCACACAACATGCAGGAAGCCAAAACTCTTGTCTTATCCAAGCCGGACTGGACTAAAGAGACAGCACAAACTATTGTGGAATTGTTGTGTCAAGGTCATGCACAAGTGCCTGAGGATTATGAAGCCTTTCGCGCTGCTGCCGATCAGATTTTGCTGCCCTGCCACATTCCCCACCCGGTCTACTCGAAGCACTTGGAGATCCCCAAGTCTGCTGGTGATGATGGCGATGATGATGACCCAGTAAAACTGATAGAATGGGTTTTAGAAACGAAGCGACAGTGCCAAAACCAGTTCAAATTTCTCAGTTTAGACATGACGGGTACTAATACAAGCAGCCACAGAAGATTCATCGACGACGACGACGACGACGCATTTGTATTGGTAGGAGATATCATTGAAGCACAGCGGAACAATCAGAACAACAACAACAACAACAACAATCGCGGGAACAACCAAAACAACAATGAAGATGATGACGAAAACGATCTTTTTGCCGAAAGTGACGATGACGAGGACGAGAATGAACAAGAACGAGTGGAGGAGGATGAGGATGAAAATCAAGGTCGTCGTCCCAATAATCGTCCGCAACAGGACAGAGCGGCAGTCAACAGGAACAATAGTACTGGCAGGAATTCGACTGCCAATGTGTCTCCAGATCTGTGGAAGCAATTCCTCACGCAGGGGCTGCTCATGGTGGACTCTTCCAAGGGATTCTCCATAAAACTGGGTGAAAAGGAACAACAAAGCGCTGACAGCCTCCGCTGGTCTTACGGTGAGACCACACAGAACTATAGCGTTCACTACCAGATTCCACTCTACGCAGCAATCACCCACATCACCACTGCACTGCGAAATGTGCGAGACTATGTCGATGATAGCGATGACGAAGACGATGACGTTTTTGCACCGAGTAGGGGAAGATATCGCATGTGCTTTCAACTTTGGTGCGGCTTCTATCACAACTGTCTCGAGTTGACTGGTACGTACTTGGTACCTGGCATCGGGGAAGCCGCTAGATTCACATTTCGCTCGCCCCCATCCTCACGCCTTCTTGCCTTCTTCCCAGATGAGCTGGAAGCTTCGTGGGAAGCGGACTTTAACCCAGGGGGTCTCTCTGATGATACGACAACTCGAGGATCTCTGCACGACCTGGCGTCCATCTTGGTGCAATGCGAAGATTACATAGTCCCGAATCGAGTAAGTGGCGAGGAAACAATGCCCATTCTCTCCTGTACTTCTTTGCCAACCACTTTTGGATTCCACGCTTTCGTCTCCACCGTGACACACCATAGAACGTAAAGAAGATTGCTCTGTTCTTCCACAAACCAAATTGGCGAACTCTGGGTAGGTTGATACATGCCACGCAACAATGCAAAGACAACCCAGGGACTCTCCTGTGGGATGCTGAAGCGAATGACTTTTTAACCATGAAAACCTTGAACGATACAAAGACGATTTTAGAATTTCTAACAAAGGAGACGAGCCCATTGGCGTGCAAGGGGGACTTTCAGTTGACAGAAATACGTGGTCGAGGAGCGACGAAGGGCAATGAGTGGAAGGTGCGATAAACGTGTGTTGGATCTTTAGAACTTGTAATGGCCAGTGTAATCAAACATTGTGATGGAGGTTTTGGTGTACCGGTAACAGTACTGGTACCCAAAAGAGAAAGCAATCTGGAGGTCTCAGAAATTAGATTTGCAGCTCTGCTGTTTGAAATTTCGAAGGACTTGCTTTGTCGTTTTTTTCGGCGTCTTCCCGTAATTTGGACCGCTGCAAAGGCAGATTGCATGTTGGATCGTTGAATGAATCATTCATCATTCCGTTCTTCTGTTGTGCACCTGCTTACATCACAAACAGTTGCTCCTGTAGTTGTTTGAAAGAAAGATGTCTCGAGTCCTTGGAGCCGTTGTGTTCGTGGCGACGGCGCTGTTGGTCGTTTGCCTCTTCAATGTCAACGACGCGCATTCGAGTGATGTGTCGCAGTCCTCCTCATCCACAAAGATTGTGGATCATCTTCGCAATAGCAATGACCTTCATACACCTGCTCAAACTTTCATGGATCTGCTCATCCAACTATCATCTCGTGTATCCTTCTCGAAGGCCGAGGAGTCCACGAATTTCGAGTTGGACAGAGGAGATCAGTCACACCCAACGACCGACAACCTGTTTGTACGCGACGAAAACTTTCATATCACAGAGAGCCTTCCAACCAGTGCGCTCTGTGATCTCGTCTTCCTGTATGCACCCTACTTCTCCCAGATCTATGGACAAAACGTGGCTCTCAACATTTCGGTTCGGACCGCGGTGTCGTCCAACCTCGAAAGCAATGGCAACCCTCTTCTGCTGATTCAACGGGCAACCATCCAAGTTGGAGACGATCGGCTGGATGTAATGGGAAGTGGAATCTATGCTCTGAATGGCAAGACCGGATCCGGACTTGTCCTGCCAATGTTGTTGGCCAGGACCTTCCCGTTGACGCGGTCGCCTGTTTGGACTCATTCGACAAATGACACGCTCCTTCATCACGAGTACACAATCCATCTGAATGAAATCGAGAGCATTGTCATTACGACGTCTCAACATCGAGTACTTTCAATCGAGGTGGACCGTGCATCACCTCAGCGCTTTCGCGATTGTACTGGGATCATCAACACAGTTCTGGCCAGCACGTCTACCGATGACGAGGGTATCGGCACGACAATATTGGTCGATGCTTGCACCATGGACTGGATGATTCAGGACGAGGAGCCTGTTCTCACTCCCATGATGTTGCAGTCAAGCAGACAACGCCGTCTCGGGGCACCTGGCACCAAAATTCTGGAGAGCAACCGTGTAGCCTCGAATGTAGTCGCCAAGGAATGATTGAATCCGAGTCGAGTCGCAGACAGGATCTAGAAGGTCAAAACCATCATATTTCGAAGTCCTCTCGGAACACGCACAAGGTAGACAGGCAGACGGTACACCTTGTATGGACTGGTACCAACGATAACCGTGTAGAAGATAGCACTTGATTGATCATTCGGGAACTCAAGTGGGAATGGCATCGAGAAGAGTAAAGTAAAGTAAAGTAAGTGTACGCACGTTGGAGAACATGAAAAGAGAACAAACGTTGTTTTAGTGAAATTGCTAGAGTAGTTACAACTATGGTGCCCTATTGTTTCTGTTTCGATTTCTTCCTGGGTTTCATTGACGACGTTAGGGAGAGACCCATGATGTGGTTCTGTCTGGGGTATCGCCAGGACCGTTTCGCTGCAGTTTGTCGTAAAGGAGCCGGTGCCGGTACTTTTGCGTTGCTTCCGTTGTTTCCTTTCCATTCTCGCACACTGTAAGGACGTGTGCTGTACTTGTCTCCAATTCCGCTTCAAGAGTACGCTACACTACTATGTACTTACTTGGAGCATGCCTGCCATGGCAGAATGCTTGCTGTTCCTCTGTCGGAAAGCCCTTCGTCAACAAGACCGAAAGAAGCTCATCCGAAGCCGCAACCGCCTAGCATTGACAACGAATTTACTGCCGAGATGGATTCATGTGACGCTCGGTAGCAACATGAAACTCCGACTCCCACTGCTCCTGCATGTCCTCGAAGAGGAAAACGTATTGATCGTCTTGTGGACGGGAACCCTTCAAGCATTCGAAAATGGCAACAATAGTGAGCACGGCGTCAAAGAGTTTGCCAAAGACAGCGTTCACCTTTTGAAGCTGACGAGACAATTTTTGGTTGTCCACGCCTACAACAAGGCACACAACACTCACCGCGAGGAAACCAAGTGTAAGACCATTCGACATGGTCGTTTTCAAGCGTCGGACAAGTTTGTTAGAGAATCGACCAGCAGCTTCGGCATTGTTGTTGGTACTAGCAGTAGCGGCTGTCATCGTCAAAGAGAAGAAAGAATCGGTTAGGTTAGAGCAACGACAGAGTGACGACAAGGACGAAGGTATCAAGATTGTGAGGATCATCGTCGCAAACGAAAGGGACAAACGGGTTACAAACGTGGACATATTGAGCGTGGAAGAGATTAGCGTGGAAAGCAAAAATCGAAACCAATCGAATAATTCATTCGATTCGATTCAAACGAAATCTAAAATCGAATGAAACAGCTTCTTCCGAGATCAACAACCATCGAGCCATCGAGCAAGGACGAGAGGAATGAGCTTCGGTACCGTTAGGAGACTTTATGGGGGGGTTAGGCATGAGCGCGGGGGAGGGAAAAAGAAGAAGAAGAGGGAGAGGGTTATCGGTTGAGTTCCAGATTCCGGTTGGAGAGCAGGCAGGGCTAAAGATCTGGTCACGAAGATGCCAGTAATGCACCAGAAAGAGGGGAAACGGCAATGACCTGGTCATCGGCCCCTCCTCCGTTAAATCTCCTACATCCGAAGAACATGTATATGTCAGCAAATACGTCACCAGAGAGGTTCGTTGATCAAATTCAAATTGATCCAACGGATATTCCGATACCTTCTGGCTGGCTCTTTCCCAATCCTTGGCTGACACCAAACCCTCCCACAATTCGAAATTTCGACACCACAGCCACAGCGACGTCCTACACCGGGTAAGAATGTTGTTGTTACTGTTTGACAATGGCGGTTGTTGTTTGCGATAGCTAATGATTGCTAACACTATTATCTTGTCCTCTGCTGCTACTGTTGTTACTTTGGCTGAAGAGTCGTTCGATCGCTCTCAACCGAACGGCGTGCAACCAGATCGGACGACACCGTGACTCCTTCCTCTACCGACACTCCTTCCTCTACGGACGATCCTTCCTCTACCGACGCTGCTGTCTATTTTGTCTTGAAGTCAGCGACTACGTGGGTAGGGGCAAGACTCTTGGCAACAACAACAACCACTACTACTCCTACGTCCTCCACCGAACGTCGTCCTTCCACCAAACGTCGTCCTCCACCGAACGTCCTCCACCGAACGTCGTCCTTCCACCGAACGTCCTCCACCGAACGTCGACAATGAGGATTGCTACTAGTCATGGTTCTCCAAGTGGCTGCAAAGTGTCAACAATACCCATTCAATGAGCTGAGGGTGAACAAGGCAAGGATTCAATTGCAAGTATGTCATTTGTGGGTACAACAGTGATGAGGAGGATAACTTCTGTTTGGCCACAACCAGCATGGAAGTGACGGTTCTTGAGGAGTTGATATTGCAAGGAGCAGGCAAGCCTCTTCCTCCTGATTGACAGGCATCATGGACTACATGTTGAATGGGGACGCCAGGATAGTCCACAATGGTACCGTGCTGTTGTTGCTACCCTTTGAAATGCTGGAGGGTCCCATCCCTGTGAAAGGAAGGACATCTTTATGGAGTGCATCTATTGTTAGCAAAGGATAGGATCATGAGGAGTATGACTTGGGCTCCATTGAAGGCCAGATTTGCATGGATGCTTGGAATGGGTATTGCATCCAGTGGTACAACCCAAATTTTCCTTCAAGAGTATTGTATGATGAATCAGAGTTTGTGATGTGTGCATGGAAGACCTTCAGTATAATGGAGGCCTGAGACCCCAATTGGCTATGTTTATTGATGGCAACAACCAACAGGACTTTGAATGTAAGTTACTTGTAAATTAGAAATGAATCGGATGTACCTAAATATTTATTGCTGTTCTTATGCCAGATATCCATTCAATCGAGTTTGACAGGTGGCATCATGAGGTGGTCTTCTCTCCTGTTGGTCAACCACTGCAGTATCTCTGACAGCAGCCATTCGGTGGAGGAGGTGGCTGGAAAGGATATGGCAGTATGGTTGGAATTGCCGCATTTGCATGGCAAGTTGCATCATTTGAATTTGTTGTTGTTGCTGGTATAGAATCAAATTACCAACATAAGCATTTCTTGTTTGTGTCACTGCAGGTGGTGGTGGTGGTGGTGGTGGTGGTGGCGGCGGTGGAACCATTGCTGTTGCAGTCGGTGGATCGATTGCTGTGGATTTGGTGGCTCGATTGCTGGTGGAGTCGGTGGTTGTGGTCCTGTACAAGCCACACACAACAACAATCATTTGGTGCATACTTTTGTCTCTGTGGTTTGAATGCACAATGAACTCTGAAAAGAACCTCTCTCCATTATCCTGTGGCAGTGGCTCTGCATTTGGAAATGGTTCATCGACACCCACAGCCAGTGCTAGCTGATTCAGGTAAGCCAACTCTGAATGATTCCAGTAAGGTACAACCTTTTCCCATCCGGCTGAATTGACCTCCTCTCTGCTACACTGATTCTTGACAGGAGGCTCTCTTGTGTCTAATCTTGAGGTTGTATCTTGCAGTTCCAGCCAAGTTGAGTGCATCAGCAAGGCTTCTTCTCATTCCACCATTGCCAAAATGGGCAAACTTGTCATGGAATGCTTCCAGTTTGGATTCTCCTCTCCTTGATAGGTACTCTGGGAGGCTGTGCTTGGAATTGGGTGATGGTAGGATGGTGTCATACATGTCTTCCAGTGCCAGGGGATCAGCAAGTGAGGCTTTTCAAGCAGTTCTCTACTGCTGGCTTGGTATCAGAAGTGAAACAAGGTATAGTTCTTGGCTGGATCCAGTCGCCCCTGTCCTGGCTGCTACCATCACTGGCTGTCACTTGTACCTGCAGAACCACTGCTGCACCTCTGCCTCATTGTTTCCGGTGACCTCATCTGCTTCCTTAGATACTTGGAGTACCGAGCTCTGAAGACCTTGGAGGCTTGCATGTCGGAGATCTCTGCCATGGAGTAGTGCTTGCCATTGGAGGACAAGAGGCCATGTTTCAATGCATGGAGGACCTTCTCATAGTCATCTGGTGAGTACTCATACAAGCAATCCAAGAGGTCTCATGCTTGAAAGTAATCAATGTGACCCTTCTCAAAGTTGACAGGATCCTCTTCTCATAATGAAACAGGCCAAGTCTTCCCTCAATACCTGGAAAGAGTAACTCCCAGTAGTCATCCTTGTGGGGCCAGGTGTCACTGTACATTGCAGCTGGATTGAAGTGGCTCCTCCTTGCTAGCTGCATGCAGCATGGGAGAAGTGGATGGTCTTGGTGGTAGGAACGAGAACTGCTGAAGCAATCTCTCCAGTCTCAGTAGCAGCATCCAAACAGCAGCAGCACCAAGACTCTTGCTGTAGTTCTTGATCACCTGGAAGGTGTGGTCTTGACAGAAGATTCCTTTGTTGCACTTGACACTTGGATCTCTCTTGTGTGCCTTTGGTTGTCACTGATCCTCCACGGATTCCTGTTTGAAGCACAAGCAGCATCAAAGATGTCACGGATGGTGTCACACAAGAGGAGGAAACTGTTGATGTAAGTGCCATCCTTTGAAGAAAGGGATCAGGACAGTGTCGCTTCCTTGCCAGTATGAGAAGTAAGACATATGGCTCTAAGATACTCTCTGTTGATTGCGTTGTAGATAGGCGGCTGCATAGGTCTCATTTCCATAGGTTAACAGATAGAATCGAATACTTCTGTTGCTGTTCGCTCCAAGTGACAAGCTTGTTAGGTAGAGCATACTTGGACTCCACTGGATAGAGCAATGCAGATGGTCTGGGATCGAGACAAGCACTTCTGCAGAGTTGGCATCGAATCTTCTGTTTGCAGCTTCCACAAACCATGGACATGACTATACACCAAGAAGGAGGACCAGTGATGCCAAAGATAGGGAACAGGGTCTTGTTCTTGGACCGTTGTGCCTCGCATTCTTGAGTTTGGCCAGAGCATCTTCCATCGGGACAAGGTACAGTAATCCACATCGATTCCAGTCCACAAGGAGTAGTTTCTGGCCAACAATGGAGTGGTTGTGGGAGATTTGAATTGCTCCTCTGTGGATGGAACTGTCATGGTGAGTCCTTCAAAATGTTGGTGGAATTGTGGATTCCTTGGCTTGATAATGGATTCTGACACAGTTCTGCCAGTGCTAGCATGCCAGTGGTGCTCCTTTGGTCTTGTGCTGTTCCACAAAGGCATTATCATTTAAAAGAGTGGTTACCTTTTGACAAAGAGCTCCTGGAGTTGTGTTGGTTGTGGATTTCTTCTGTTGCCGGCTCTGATTTGGTTTTGCTGTGTTTGTTCTAGCAGAAAAGAAGCATCTCCATTCTCCTTTTTGAGTGCTTCCAGCTTCCTCTCCTCATTGAGTGGAAGAGGAGCACTGAAGCTTGTGAGTCTTCTGCTCTCTCTGATGGTTTTCCATTGTCAGCTCATTCAAATCGTCCTCTTCCTCTTGTTACTGTATTCTTATACAGATAACGTGGTGTGATCTTTTTGGACTCTGAACCAAGATGTCTGGCCTTACAGATGACACACTCCTTGAGTGGATCAAAGACTTCTGCTACCTCTCCTCCCAGCGTTGTTTTGGGTCCTTCTTCTCTGCGCTCTCTTGATCTGTTGTCTGTTGGAGGCGAGTTGATATGCTCTCTTCTGTTGCGAGTTTCTCTGTTGACTTTGGCAGCCCATTCCTCCATTGTGAGTTGTAGCTGCCTGTTGGTGGTCTCCATGGTCCTCTTTTGCTGCTTCTGCTACTTGTGCGCTACTGCGCTTTGCTGCACGTTTTGGCTGAGTTAATGACTGTCGAGTGAAGCAATCCGGCAGGTTGCTGTGGGGTCATTGTCGATCTTCAACGGAATCCGAGTTTCGTTGTTGTCGAAAACAGAAAATGGCGACTAGGTAGCACAGTTTCCCTGTAATCTTTATAAACGGTACGTTAAGTATATTTGAATTTTTGCGACATACTTCCTGACGTATTAGCTTGATTAGCCAATCAGATTTCTGCCTTCTACCGCTTTCGCCCTGATGGAAGGGCGAAAGGGGTGAAAGGCAGTGATCTGATTGGCTGAGAGACCGAAGAACAATGTATATGTCAAGCAAGATATATAAGAACAGATTCAAATATACTTAACGTACCATTTATA